TTTGAGTATTCTAAAGCAAACTAGCAGTTTCATGACTGTCCGTCCTCGGCCTGTCCGACCTCGGCCTATCCGACCACGACCTTATTGATGACGGTCCGACCTTGGATTTATTGATGACGGTCCGTCCTTGGCCTGTCCGACCTTGGCTTTATGTCTTCACGTGCCGAATTTCTCTGGTCTAATTTTGACCCATACAGTTAGTCCCTCCGCTTATCGAGGTCGTCTCTTGGTCGAGCTCGGTGAGCGGACCTCATTAATCGTAGTTCTAGAAATTCGGATAGGGAGGTCGATTAGTATGGGTTGCAGCTGAGGATGCCGATGCCGAGGGAGAATATCTTGAAGATGGTGGTGAAGAGAGTGGCGATGGTGACGCCGAGTGAAAAGATAGCTGTCTTTTTTGACCATTGATCCGGGTCGTATGTAATCTGCGACTATTTGCGCAGTGACTTTGTATAAATAAGAACTTTTCGTTGTTATTTGCCTTAGACTTTTCCATGTTTTCGCTTTTCGCGACTTTGATGCGAGGTAGATTCCCGCATGGCGAGTCCCGGTCTTTCCTTCCCTTTATATTTTCTGACGGCACTTGGCCTTAGGGACATTTCGAATTCTCTTCGGCGAAGGCCTATGGCCTTAGAGGGTATTATTTCGATTTTGTTGGAATCTTGACCTGTCGTTGTTCGATCGAGGTCGAACTCTTCTTCTTTGGCGAAGGCCCTTGGCCATAAAGTCGATTCAGACGAGGCCGAAGGCTGTTTCGGACGAGGACGAAGGTTGTTTTAGACGAGGCCGAAGGTTGATTCGGATGAGGCTGAATGTCGATTCGGACGAGGCCGAATGTTGATGCGGACGAGGCCGAGTTCTTCTTTTTAGCGATGGCACTTGGCCTTAAAGGGTGTTATTTCGACTTATCAAAATGTTAACCCGTTCGAATTCGAGTGAGGTCGAACCATCAAACTTTCATGGTGAAGGCGCTTAGCCTTAAACTCAGTTCGAACGAGGTCGAACTTATCAGACCTCGGTGGCGAAGGCACTTAGCCTGAGTCCCATTTCGAGCGAGATCGAACTGTTAATCTTTGGTGGCGAAGGCACTTAGCCTGAGTCCCAGTTCGAGCGAGGTCGAACTGTTAATCTTTGATGGCGAAGGCACATAGCCTGAGTCCCAGTTAGAACGAGGTCGAACTGTCAAACTTTAATGGCGAAGGAACTTGGCCTGAGTCCCAGTTCGAACGAGGTCGAACTTATCAAAATTTGATGGCGAAGGCACTTAGCCTTAATCCCAGTTCGAGCAAGGTCGAACCTGTCGATCTTTGATAGCGAAGGCCTTAGCCTTAATCCTAGTTCGAGCGAGGTCGAACCTGTCGATCTTTGATGGCGAAGGCCTTAGCCTTAGTCCCAGTTCGAGCGAGGTCGAACTGTCAAACTTTGATGGCGAAGGCACTTAGCCTTTAACTCAGTTCGAGCGAGGTCGAACTTTGTTACACTTTAATGGCGAAGGCACTTGGCCCGAGTCCCAGTTCGAGCGAGGTCGAACTGTTAATCTTTGATGGCGAAGGCACATAGCCCGAGTCCCAGTTAGAACGAGGTCGAACTGTCAGATCTTTGATGGCGAAGGCCTTAGCCTTAAAGGGTTCCCTGGGGGAGTCCCAATTTGCTTAATTTTGCTTGCATTGGAGAATATGATGTATTTCCCGTTCGTGTATCTGAGAGAATGCTCCTGCTTCTATTCCATTTAGAAAAATAGTCAGTTAAACTAAATGAAATCGTTCGTTACCTCGATTTGATCAGTCGGCGAGTGGAGAGGAGTGGCCACGTTCACTCCTCTGGTTATGCTTTTAGTGGCCGCTACCAGTTCGGCAGGGCCATCTGTTTCGATGTTTTGTGCTCCGGGTATCTGGTCGAGTTGATACTCGTCAAACTCGGGCGTAGCTTATGAATTCCTGCCTGATATTTTCGTAGCCTTTGTTCTTTTATTTGGAAAGTCCCCGTGATTTGGTTGACGACGGGCTGTGAGTTGTACCGGGGGATGATTCTCCATGCTGCATACTTGAGAGCTAGTTTCGGTCTTCTCAACCGTGGTAATTTAGATTAGTATAGACTGTCTATGCCACATTCTTTGGAGCACGACCCTTCCTTAAATCGATCTTGCATGAATTTAAAATGTCATGGATATGCTAGTATGAAATAAGCATGTAGCCAAGGATGGAAAGTTGTTCAGTAGTTAGACGATTGTTCGACATTATCTTAAGAGCAGCAAGAATATTGACAGGAACAATAGTATAGATTTGGCATTTCTTTTTCAATGCAGAAGTTTCATATTGAATGATATTTGCCTCTTTTGGAAAACGTATGTGTAACGCCTTTTTCTATCACATAGGCAAGGACATCGGCTTCAACTATTTTGCCTTGACCGTAAAGTCCATAGACAGATTGTCATTCGGTGACGTGATGACATTAATCGATCCGCGTATGATAGAGTGAATTGAAATTTCAGGGAGTGTTTATGCGCACTTAGGTTTTGATGAGAGCATTTTGGCACCGTCCCCGTATTCATAAGCAACGTGAGCTGCTGCCGACCAAAAAGTCATAAGGCAGCACAACATATAGCGTGGAAGAGACATGGAACCACTTCCATCCCCTATCACAAAGAAAATTCTACATAAAGCATGATATTTAAACATGGCCCCTACCATATTACTATTATTTTCTTTTTGATTTTTTTTTTGTGTGTTTTGCAAATATAAGCGTGGATTAGTTTGATCAACAGTGATTCAGGCCTACTTGTGCGCAGGCACAGATGGGCAACTTTGTCAGCCATACAGAAAAATATCCACTAGTGTTTTTTGCTTAGATTTCTTAGTCCTCTTTTTGTGCAGCAATCCCGAACAGTGACGCTACTCTACAAACTTGCTAGAATTGAATTTTAGATCTAGAGAAAACTACAATTTTAACTAGGAAATCCCCACAGACGGCGCCAAATTGTTGGACTCAAAAGATGTTAAACTCTTTTTGAGCAAATCAATCAAAGATGAAGGGGTAAAATCCTAGTTAAAGATAATTAACTCTAGATCCGAGACGAATAATATGAGTAGAAAAATATAGCCGAGTGTAAATGTTGACGGCGATTATGACCAGATTTAATAGCATAAAGAAAGATGCATTAAGTAACAAAAATATGAATAAAGGAAAAGATTCACCCGATCTTCAGTGAGACGGATCTTCTTTCATTTAATCCAGAAGAATGATAGTAAAATACAAGAACCTTATGACCCTTTTTCGGGCCTGATGAAGATATGGGACCACAGATCCTCTCATTTCTTAGGAGAGGTGTGTTTACATGTTTTCTAGAAAGAGGGAGAGGGAGAGAGAGCCCCCATTATGGGAAGTCCCCCCCTTCTATTTATAAGGGGGGTATCCATAAAAAATCCTAACAAAAGGTACAATTTAGAGAGAATATTCGGTAGAATATTCATTTTGAGTATTCTAAAGCAAACTATCAGTTTCATGACTGTCCGTCCTCGGCCTGTCCGACCTCGGCCGATCCGACCACGACCTTATTGATGACGGTCCGACCTTGGGTTTATTGATGACGGTCCGTCCTTGGCCTGTCCGACCTTGGCTTTATGTCTTCGCGTGCCGAATTTCTCTGGTCTAATTTTGACCCATACAGTGATCAAACAACTACTTATAGCCGGCGAGCCATTAAGAACAGTGGACGAGATGGCTGGACGAGATGGCTGAAAGAGGAAGAGAATTGAGGTTTTGCTTAAGAATGAGGGTTGCTTATTGCATTTGGTATGTTGAAATGGATGATGATCTTAATATAGAAGTTGATATTTTGGATATGGTTAATAAGAGTTACATTGGTCATACTACTCTCTCTATATGTTTCTTCTCAAAGTTGAGCAGTACTAATCTCTTGGATTGGAATGACCGACTATCATTCGCCGAACTAGTAAAAGATGAGCTCCATGTCTTGGTCTTAGACAATTACAGGAAGCTAAAATGGGCTTAAAAGATCATCAAGCTGACATTCTTAAAACCGGATAATAAGGAACTAATGACATTTATTACTTGTGATAAGTCTATGTTATTCTTTCTGACGCAGGACAAGATATCTTTCTCCATGTATGACATCAATATGCGGGAGTTCAATAACTGGTACATTATCAAGCTGCATCAACTTTGGTGAAGAGGTCGCAGTTAATGTGGCGTGTTTAGTGTTCTTCAGGAGAGGTGCCCAGGAATTAATGGGGTGGGGGTTTTTAGAAGGAAACTACTATTTTGAGATTTTTGCGTAAGAGTTAAGTCTAAAGTTTTTCCTTGCTTCCTTCAAATCTTAATCTATTTTTGTACTCTTTACCATTTTCAATATAAACTGTTGATGTGTATCAGTAATCTCGCAGATGAGTGATTCATCACGTAAACCTGTCATGTACATATCTGGTGACTCCTTTAAAACGAACAGGGTAAAGATTTACATGTGGTTGATAAAATACTAGTTGCTTCCTCTGTTTTATCATATGTACACCAAGATTATAAACTTCAATGTTATCATATGGACACCAAGATTATAGTTACCAAACACAAAACTTTCCAGGCAGTTAACACAATTACTCTTATAATAGTAATATGGATTTTCACTTTAATTCGTTAACTCTTAAGGTTAATTGTTTAGTATTTAACAATTCGTACTGCAGTTACCATTGCTACAGCTTCGACTTACCTCAAGATGAGCAGCTTCAACATAATGTGGAGCTTGTTGAACTCTGCACAAGCAATCAAATAACAGAAAAGATAGCACATAATTACGTATAATATATTGCAATCCCAATAAAATTAATAATCTATAGAGTGGACAAACACCAGTAATCCTTCTTTCTCAATACAGCAAAATTTCAGGCAGTTAATGCCAGTTCAAACCACTACGTATTACAATATGATACCAAAATCTTCAATTGGACCAAAAAAAAAAACGAAACTTTGAGGTTCTCAAGCGACAGCAATAGGCTGTTGTTTCGAAGGCTCAACGTGTTTATTGGAATCTCCGAGGAAATCTTCCATATTATATATAACGGTGATATACAGAGAACAACTAGGGCAACGAGCGATCTCTTCGCCTAGCTTCAGATCTTCCTTTGTGATTTGAAACAGGTCGCCGCACGGACAAGGATATGTGAAAGCTTGGAGCTCGTCGTTCCACTCCATGTCCTCAATCTCCACGTCGTCGTACGACATTTTTTCACAGAAATTAGGGTTTTTTTGTTCGTGAATTCGGTAAAGATTTCCGATCGTGGAAGTTAATTGGGTTTAAATAGCATCTGACGTCCTTTTAATAACTTAGAAAAAATGTAATATGACCCTGAACATTAGTAAATTGCCACTTCAGCATGTTCAGGGGCTTAAGAGCATGTCTAACCGAGCTTCTGGGAGGTGCAAAGTATTCTTTTTTTAATCAAAAAGGTACTTTTTAGTAAATTAAGGTATTTGGCTAAAATAAAAAAGTACTTTTGAGCAGCAGAAAAATTAGTGTTTTTGATTTTGGGGAGAAGCTATAAATTCTAGCTTTTTCCAAGAAGTATAAGTAAAATATTAATTTATTCAAGACAAAAATAACCTTACAATAAATTTTTATTTTTCAAATTATTTTTCATTAATTTAATTTTTTTCTTTTTTTTTCTTTTCCTTTTTATTTTACTATATATTTCTTCTCTTTTTTATTTCAATCATATGAAATAACTATATTTTATATTTATTGACATTTTCAATTTATATTTTTACTTTACGTTTTATATTTCAATTGAGTTCTTTTATAATAAATATTTAAATTTATTTTTCTTTTCTAAATAATGCTAATCACAAATTGAACCTTTACTGTCCCTTTTCGTAATTTATATTTAAAAGTGCTTTTTAAAATATTGGCCAAACACAATAAGCTTTCGAAAAATACTACTCAAACGAATTGGCTAAATACAAAATGCCATTTTCAAAAATTACTTCTGAACAAAAGCACTTTTTAAAATAAACAGTTTTTGACAACTTGGCTAAACATGCCGTAAGGCAGTGTGAAATAACAAACCATCATATCACACGTGAAAACCAAAATGTATTTCTATGTACTCCCTTCATTTGGCTAAAATTACTTTTAGAGGTAAACTTATTACTAATAGATGGGTAGCCCTCAAAATATAATATTATTGTTCTTTTTTAATGGAGTCTTTAAAATTCCTTAAGTGCCCAAGTAAAATATGTTAAATTTTATTTGTATTCATCAGCTCTACTATTTATTTACTTAGATTAATGTTTTAATGCAAAAAAGCCTATGAATTCTTGTGCAGAAGAGCAGCATGTAACTAAATGTAACATTTATCAACAACATTAATTGGATTGGGAGGAAGAAGATTAATGTATTACTTTAGACGGGGTATATTGTTTCTTTTATTTGACATTTCTTTTCCAACAAACAATACTCCTTCCGGTTCACAATAAGTGACCAATTTGCTTTTGGCAAGCCTATTAAGAAAATACTAAATTCTATACAAAAATACCTAGTATGACTAAACTACCCTTAATTAAATATTTAATGTGAGGAGTAAGAATTTTTTTTAGGGATATGTACATAAGGGTAATTTTGTAAAAACAAATTGAATTCTTTCTTGATTATATAAATAGACACTTAATTTCGACCAAAATTAAAAAGCAAATTAATCACTTATTGTGGACCGGAGGGAGTAATAATTATGCTTTAATTCCAAACATCGTTTTAACATAAGCTTAGTTGAGCGCATCGTAATGAAATCTATATTATAAGGAGCCATCATGAAATGATAAGTTTTATGCTAATTGTCAACTTCCTGTCTTTTTTTTTTCTTTATTAGGACTTGAGTCCGATAATATGAATAAACTCACAAAGTTATATAAATAAGTAATTTCTTACTATGATTTATTATAAATTGAATAAGGTAAAGTTAATTAAAAGAATATAAAAGAATGAAGTACAAATTAAAATTGATACAATAGGAGGAGTATAGGACTGCAAATTGCGCAAAAACTCTTCTAGGCCTTATTTGGCTAGAGAGCAAAGCTTCTCTGGCCTACAGACTGCAGCAGCAAGATGAGAAGTGTCAAAGCTCTCAGAAGCTCCAAGCTTTCTTCACTCCCACTCCGGCATTTCTCTACACTTACTCTATCCAAATCCAAAAAATATGCCCCATCTCCTCCTCCCACACCTCCCATCACCGGGAATGTCCCACAAGATTCAGTCACTTCTTCTCAGTGGCATTCCATCAAACACATTCCAGGCGAACTAAACCCCACCTTAATTTCAACCACCCTCCCAAACCTTCGTTCATCTCCGGACCGTGTACTCACTTTCATCGAAAATATCAGCCCCAATTGCTTAGACATTACCTGTTATAGCCTCGCTATTTGCATACTCTCTCGTCTCCCCTCGCCTAAACAAGCCACACACCTTCTCAAGCAAGTGATCAGTGCACGCGTCACCACGCATAAGGAGTTTTTTGATGGGCTTGTGAGTGCTCGGGAGAAGCTGGAAATAAAGAGCTCAATTGTGTTGGATTTGCTTGTAAGGGCGTATTGTGAATTGAAGAAAGGCGAGGAGGCGTTAAAGTGCTTTTATTTAATGAAACAGAAGGGAATTTTGTCCAAGATTGAAACTTGTAATGATTTATTGAGTCTTTTTAATAAATTGAATAGGACCCATTTGGCCTGGATTGTGTATGCTGAAATGTTTAGGATGAAGATTAGTTCGACTGTATGTACGTTTAATATAATGATCAATGTTCTATGTAAAGAAGGCAAGTTGAGGAAGGCAAAGGAGTTCATTGAAAACATGCAGTGTTTAGGGGTTAAGCCAAATTTAATATCGTATAATACTGTGATTCATGGTTATTGTTTGAAGGGAGATTCTGAAGGAGCAAATAAGTTTTTTGAGACGATGATAGTAAAAGGAATTGAGCCTGATTCGTACACGTTTAATTCTCTAATCAGCGGGATGGTGAAGGAGGGGAGGGAAAAGGAGGTGTCTTCGTTGTTAGAGAAAATGAAGTCGTTCGGGTTGATCCCTACAGCTGTGACTTACAATACTCTGATAGATTCATGCTGCAATAAAGGGGACTTAGAAAAGGCATTCTTTTATAGGGATGAGATGGTTAAGATTGGGGTTGTGCCAAGTGTTACTACCTATAACTTGTTGATCCATGCATTGTTTCTTGATAGCAGAATGGCGGAAACTGATGATTTGGTGAAAGAGATGGCAGAGAAGAGAGTACTCCATGATGGTATTACGTATAACATATTGATCAATGGCTATTGCAGGGCGGGGAATGCAAAGAAGGCATTTAAGTTTTATGATGAAATGCTGAGTAGGGGTCTTCAACCGACGATTGTCACTTATACATCACTTATCAAAGTCTTGGGCAAAAGGAATCGGATGAAAGAAGCAGATGATTTGGTTGTTGAAATATTGCGGAAAGGGATATTCCCAGATCTAATTATGTTCAATGCATTGATTGATGGCCATTGTGCCAATGGTAACGTTGTGCGTGCTTTTGATATACTGAAGGAGATGAATAAAATGAACGTTCAGCCTGATGAAGTTACCTACAATTGTCTGATGCAAGGGTATTGTAGGGAGAATAAAGTTGAAGAAGCTTGTGCGCTTCTCGAGGAGATGAAGGGAAGAGGAATTAAACCTGATCATATCAGCTATAACACTCTAATCAGTGGGTATAGTAAGAGAGGTGACATGGATGATGCATTCAAAGTTCGTGATGACATGTTAAGTGCAGGTTTTAACCCTACTCTTCTCACTTACAATGCTCTCATACAAGGTTTATGCAAAAAACAGGAAGGTGTACTTGCTGAGGAACTTCTCAAAGAAATGGTTAGTAAAGGCATTACTCCTGATGACAGCACTTATCTTGCTTTGATTGAAGGGATTGGTGATGTTGATGGTTTCTTGGGGAGAAAAGATCCATCATAAGGTAACTTGTCAGGTTCCTGTTTGCAGCTGACAACTCCTTGGCGATTGTTTGGATATAATTGACTCGATTGATTTGGAGTACTTGGTGGAACTGAAACAACCACAAAGTTCATCCTTCCCTAGTCGCTTGCATTTTCACATTTCATCAGATTGACATGACAGTCCAACTACATAGCCAGACATGCTCTGCTTCATCGCCCCTTCTCTGTACTGATGATGGAACGCCATTTCATCCTCCTCCTGAAGAAAAACTGAGTATTGGGGGAAAACCATGCCAAGAAGCTTCCCTTATTACAGAAAAGAGAAAAAGCTTCCAGAATAAATGGTCCAGACCTGTCAAATGAAGAGGACAGGAAATGTGATAATTGTTTTGTTTAAGACCAGCAGCTGAGTTTCTGGAGCTGTGAAAATATTCATATCAGGATTTCTTGAAGCAATAATATTTATCTCAAATTAGTTTGCCAAGGAGTTAAATGTACTTGAATGGACTTTAGACTAGGTTTTCACTCTGTGGGAGAGCTGTTTCTATAGCATATTCCCAGATGTTGAAGAGCAGTGGAGGTATGCGTAGTAAACGAGGTTAGAGAATGGGCTCTGCTGCACTGTAAGTTTCAAGCTGATATTGGCTTGTAAAGTATTGTACATCCATAGCGATCTTACATTAGCCAATTGGTTCACAATTTTCAGAGCTAGCTGATATTACTTGATGAGCCCCAATCATTGTTTTGCTTTTGCAGTCTCCAATCTTCAGCATATTTGTTTATATTATACTCATAACTTGGTTGAAGTTCTTTTTCTTTCTCTTATTATCGGGGTAAGTAGAGCTGCTTAATTTCTGAAAATACGTCATATTTCTAGCTGCAGTTTGTACAAGCTGAGTCACTTGATTGTACCTCAACTGTTTACTCTGTTTATGTTTCTCCAATATATGTGCTAGATGCTGTGAATTGTAAGCTCTTCTCATTTAAGTGTTTTAAATGCAAGAGGTCATACTTGGCAGGATTAGCTGGTTTTAAGAATATCACAGAATCGGGGTTATAGCCTGGTTATATGTAATGTCTGGTAAGTTAAATATGTAGCCTATAGCTTTACCACATCTTCACCTTTTACATGCTTTGTAAAATCTACCCTTTTTTCTTTGTCTTCTCTGTCACTGATAAAGAATTTCGTAGATTTTGAACCTTGCAGTCTGCCAGTCTGGGAAACAATTTTTCCACATCTTCAGGAAAGAAAACTTGGAAGCTCGTTAACCTTACTCTCCAATTTCATGTTTAATAAATGGTAAATATCGCAAGAAATTTGTGTGTGTCTGGAACAAGGGGGATTGCTAGTTTGTCACATTTAGTAGTACAAGATATAGTGGGATAGTATCCTTTCTGTGTTTAATCTCATAGAAGCACTCCTTTTTTGCTTCAGGTTACTGAGGCTTTATTTTCATGCAAAAGAAACTGACCATCTGTATAAACTTATTGTCTTTCAATGAGGTTAATATTCATCAAATTCCATTTCTTATGTCGCCTTGTCACCTTTATCTTTTGTCTTTTACTCTTAATGATCCTGTAGGGCTGCGCATTGATGGATTGACACTTTGATCTTGTGGAAATACATGTTAGCTGTTTCAGTGCTAGTCCGGGGTAGCACTGAGCACCAGTCCTTGCTTCTGAGCCATTAGCAACTTGCTAATGGTTGCTGCAAGCCTGCGACCAAAGGTTGAAGCCATCAAATTGTGTAAGGGTGCAATTCTTATAAGCACGTTAGTTAAATCAGTTGGTCTTGCGTATTTTAATTCTTGGAAGCGTCATATTCTACTGATTGTTCCTGAAATGGAGATTGAGCGAGAGAGAATTAAGCCCTAACTGGCTAAGGAAGAGAGAGGAGTGAAGAGAGAAGAGAGAAGAGAGAAAAGAGAAGCATCGAATGAATGTAACAGTAAAGGAGGAAATGAAAGCTCTGCTTTTCATTAGCTGAACTAACTGTATATATGCACAGTATTACTAACTAATCTAACTACCTTTCTAACCATTCACATGCATTGTTAACTAACTAACAACTCACTAATCTGATATCCCTTAAATAGACTAAGCTACTCTTCACTCAAGTTACATTATTTTGTCTCAACACTCCCCCTCAAGCTAGGTGGTAGGAAGACATCAAGTACACCTAGCTTGGACATCAAATACTCATGTTGTGCTCGTGACAGTCCTTTGGTTAGAATGTCTGCTAGCTGCTCCTTTGTAGCTTCATATTCTGTTCGTACCAGATTATTTTGTATCTTCTCCCTTATGAAGTGAAGGTCTGTTTCAATATGTTTGGTTCGTTCGTGAAACACAGGATTGACAGCTATTTGAATTGCTGCTTTGCTGTCAGTGTAGATGTTCACAGGAAGGCCAACCTTTACACCAATGTCTTTGAATAGACCAAGTATCCATACCAACTCAGCTACAGTTGAAGCAATGCTTCTGTATTCAGATTCTTCAGAACTCCTAGAGATGGTGCTTTGTTTCTTTGACTTCTAGGATATCGGGGAACTACCATATTTGATGAAGAAACCTGTTACTGATTTTCTAGTGATAGGGCAGGCTACCGGTCTGCATCACAATATGCAGTGATAATGTGTGTCTGCTTGCTAGATAACAATATGCCTTGACCTGGTTGATTCTTCACATATCTGACGACCCTTTGAGCAGCTTCCAAATGAGATCTTTTGGGTTTCTGCATGAACTGGCTTAGTGTTTGAACACTGTACGTTATGTTTGGTTTTGTGACAGTAAGGTATAGTAATTTCCCTAATAACCTTTGATATTGGCTGATGTCTGTTAGGACTTCATCATCAGTTGTGTGAGCACGTGATTTTTGCCCTAAGCAGTAATTCCCAAATTACAAACAAAACAATTTTTCTAGTATTTTATAAATTCTTGTGAATTTTGTGGCGTTCTTTGGTAATTGTTGCATTTTTATTTGTGCATTTTAATTCATCTGGAAGATATAAAAATACATTCCGCATTTGTTTTAGGCTCTAATTTCACATTTTAGAATTAATTAGTAAAGAAGAAAATAACAAAATTGTTCTTTCGCATTTATACTTTTAATTTGTCTTATTTTACTTTTGAATTAGGAGTTAGTGTAATTCTGGAATTAATTTGGGGTTTTATTTTTGCATTTAACAAATTTCAAAAATAAATAAATGAACAAAAATCAAAAGAAATAAAATAAATTGACATTAAGCTTAATCAGGCCACCAAGATTGGGCCACTGTCAAAATTAATCCCAGCCCAATGCCCCAAGTCTTTGCCAGACCAGCCCAACTCGTCAACCCAGTCCAGTCCCCTCCCCATGGCAAAACGACGCCGTTTGGCATCACTCAATCTTGCCCGTCCAGTCCCCATGATCCTACGGCCCTCATAAACCCAAAACCATCCCATAAAACTGTCCGAAATTAACCTAAAAATCTAAAACATTGTTTTATCTTCCTCGTACCTCCCCTGTAACGCCGGCGTCCTCCGCCCTAACCCCACCATCTGCCACCGTTCCTCCGCCGTCCGCCGCCGGCCGGAAATCGTCGCCGCCGGCGGCGATGCTCCGATCAACCCCAAAATTACACCCCAGATTCCCCTTCTCCTCCTCTACCCAAATCCACTGGCCTTTGCTTTCAAATATCACTGGAACTCGTCGAATATCCGTTCGAAGTTTTCCGGCCAAGT